AGATTATGGGTAGGCTGTACTCACCAGACCTCCCGGAGGTCCCCTCGTCGGCCGACTTCCTCTTTACTTCTGTCTGACTGGCGATTGGAGTCCCGTCCCGGACCCGACTTCGGGGAAAACGGGAGACAACTCAAAGGGGTGTTACGGCCGATTACTCACCGGTTCCCCACAGTCCAGTCCACGTCGAGGACTCCTGGCTGGCTCGCCAATTTTGTCAGAAAACGACAGGCACGGGTTCGATTGTCCAGTAGACAGAAGTTTTTTTTATTGGGCACGTTTGCAAAGGTGGGTCCCTCACGCAGCAATGGAGGAACCCCGAAACAAGGTCTGACAGGTTTTTATACCCCCTATCTGTCCTCCCCCTCCTAAGAGGGCTTGGCTCACAATCTCACCTTTTTTTACCGCCCCGGAGCACCGCTAATTAACCGCAAAACCGCAGACATTCCACTTTCCTAATCCAATCAGCGCAATACACATTGCAAACCCACTTGACCCAACAGCCGCCCCCTGCTGCCCCTCTTCACTCTGGTGCGAACGTGCCTTTTGCCTGCAGTATTTCCTCCCTCCTGCCGTCCCCCCCAAGGCTGCCCCATGGTGCACAGCACTCTCCCCAGCAAACATGGTTCGTTTGAGGCCCTCACTTCTCCCTGCCTTCTCACAAAGGGAAATCGAAAAATTAAAGAGGGCACCCACAATGCATGTAAAACAGGGACCAGGGCTACAATTATGTGGATATGGCCACCATCTTTATTTTTTTTACTTTCCCCCTTTTGGATGCCCCTACCTATACTATTCACACAAAAACTAGCAGTAAGTTCAGGAGGCATGACCTTTTCCATGGCTCTACTCATGATCTCAAAGTAGCATCAGAGTTAAATTCTTTATATTACTATTATATATACAACTGAACATACAACTGAACAGTTTATTGTATCTCAATTTTAAGAGTTCCCAGATCCCTCCTTTTTCTTCAGTTTTGGGCAGTTGAACTTAGAGTATTTTCCCCCATAAATAAGTGCCTTCAACCTCCCATAAGATCAACACACAAGTCTTAACTGGGGGGGAGGGGGGAACCAAAAACCTAAGAGTGCCTGTTCCCACAAAACACTAAGTTTTCTTCTGGCAATACACAACCACACTATCTGCGTCACCATTTTGGAGTTAGTGGAACTCTGCCTATTTTCTCCAGGAAGTATTTAATATGAACCTTTGGAACAGGAATGCATTGGCAAAGCTATGATATCATGACTCTTTCCCATTTGGCTAGCCAAGCAGCTCCAGTTGTGGCTTGGCTATTTCAGCCAACTGTCATACTTCCAGACAATTTTACAACACAATCATCTTGGTATCAACAGTTGGGGAGCAGATGCAGAACACTTACAGCGTCTGAGACATGGTTTACTCGAGTTAACCTAATTTCAAGGTTTGCATAGCACACTGAATCCTACCCTAATTACATGGGCTGGATTTACCTAATGCTAGGCTAAAATGTGATCTGTGGTTCAGCATGCCATGTGAATTCAGCCATCTGAAAAAAGGTCAGCACATAGGAACTTGCACTGGAAAGAACTCTCAGTGATAGTTTTGCCATTATGTTAATGCTCCAGAAATAAAACAGTGAACTACTTAGATAGCATTTCAGTCCCCTCACCTCTTTCCCCCCACAAAAGGTGACCTATGACATACATCAGAATTGAATATGCAGGTACACATACCATGTTCTTTCCCCAAGGGCTTCGTTTTGCCCAAGACAAGATCTACACTTTATGTCCAGCAAATAAACCTCTGTAGTATGATATGAAACCTTCTAGGCTAGCTTTTCTGTTATCTTTTATTTGTATTTGGTACCTAAACTTCAGGTTCATGTTTCTAATATCAAGTCTAATGTAAGCAATTAGATTTTACCCAGATAAAAAGCAGTAGCAAGTGCCTGGGGAGATACACACAGTCAGCTGCTCCTAGTGTACTGGGCTGCACATTTACATTTTTGTGCCAGGATTCATTTCTTTTGCAAGTACTCTAAGCATTTCTACTATGAAATTCCACTGCAAATATTGGCCCTCTCACTCCTGGCCTTCCGAAGGGCCTTGAAGACCTGGATCTGCCACTTGGCCTGGGGTGGGGAGGGAATACTTCAAGCAGGGGGATGGCTAGCCCAGTAGCGGCCAGCTCTCCGCAGCCTGATTTGCCATCTGCTTGGATCTTCCTTTCTTTAGTATTGTTTAAATTTTGGATGTTTTATGTGTTTTAGATGTATTTATAGTTTCAATGTTTCTTGTAAGTCGCCCAGAGTCCCCTATTGTGGGGGAGATGGGCGGGGGAGAAATCCAATTAAATAAATTCATTCATTCATGTAACAGTCACAGGTTAGCATGATACCTAAAATAATAGAAAAGCCATTTACAGCCAGCATACACAAACTGAATGTGGATGTCAACGTGAAACGGTCCACGCTTAAAGTTAGATACTTTAACGGTCCACGTTATTAGAAAACATTGCTGCTGTTCCGAGTAAAGGCACAGAAGCCGCAGGAGGAAGGCTGCAATCCTGAGTGCTTTTTCCGGCGCATAAACCTTTTTGAACATGGCAAGACTCGCTTCCGAGCACTAAGCACAGGCTCGCGTTGTAAGGCAAATTTTTGCACGGGGGTCAGCCTGCCACGCAAAGGTAACCCTCCCCCAAGCTAGAGCCAGACGGCGCGTCGCATTTCAGTACCACTCCCACCACTTTCAGGCAGAGCAGCGGCAGACCACGCGCCCGCAGCAGCGCCCAAACAGAGCCACCCCGCGCTTTCGCCCACGCAGCCCACTTTGAGGGGGAAAGAGGCGGAGCAAACGGCAACGTGACTCCATCCCGGACTAGGCAGCTTCCGCCAAACCGTTTGTTTTTCTCGCTCCGCCTTTTCCGGCCGCGGCCGGTGTGAGCAGGGCGGGGGGAACGGCAAGAGCTGCGCGGGTTAGCGGTGGCGCCCGCGGAGAGTGATGGCGGTGCGCAGCGCCGGGGCCACCTGAGGGGGGATCTCCATGGCGACGGCGCGTGTTTGGGAAGGTCCCTCCGCTTTCCCGTCCCCCGGTGCTGGTGCTGGTGGTGGTCGTGGCCGTCTTCCTGCGGCTGCAGCGGCCGCAGCCCCTCTCGGAGCGCACGGGATGTGAGAGGGAGGCGCTGCCGCGGAAGGGAACTTCGCCCCGAGCAACTGATTCCTTCTTCCTCACTCTCTCGCGCAAAAAAGAAGTCGCACCTCGGAAGGCGGTGCTGCGGGGAGCGGGTCGGCCGGCCTGCTTCCCCCCCAGCCTGAGCCCCGAGTGGCCTCGGTGTGGTTCAGTCCTGGATGCCTGCTGACTGCTGCGCCTTGAGAAGTGCGCGTAATAGGCGCCGTGTAGAAGTTAGAAGAGGCGCGCGAAGAGGGCTGGGGTAACGCAGACGGTGGCGGGTTTTTTAAAGACAGACCAGCACCTTTATTCGATCTGGGCTTCCAGGTACGATTTTCTGCCGTCAAGATCGACAGCCATCCTAGTCTGGAATATTAGGAGAGTACTAGTTTGGGGGAGGTGGCTTCGGTGCCTCGATGCAGTTTAAGCGGGCTCGTGCCGTCTAGGCTTCATCTTCCTAGGTCCGCTGGCCAGAGCTTCATGGAATTGCAGATTGGCCCCCCCCCCCGCTTTTTTTTGCTTCCTCTTCGGAGTATCCCACCCGTCTTTTTTTGATTTGTAAATATACCGCGGTTGCAATATGCCTATCTGGGACTAAAAATTTAGTTTTCAGGGACCATGCATGCAAGGATTTGGTAATGGTTTTGGGATTTAACCATTTAAATTGTAAAGAATAAACAAGGACAAGAGAGCAGAAAAGTTTATCTGCAAGGTTTGGAATTGTTTTTTTTTTTCTCCTAGCTCACTTAGTTTTCATCAGAATACTTGAAATAATTTAATGTGGATTAGTGGTACCATCTGTTCCAAGATTTGTTTATTCTTTAAAGGAAAAGGTAAGCCAAGAAGTTCATGTTAATTTATTTTGTGTGTCAGCTAGTTATTTATTAGTTTATTGGATTTAAAAGCCAGCCAAGTCTAGAATGATTATGGATGGCCTTACAATGCTTTCTTGTCCCTAATATTTGTTTTCTCTACATGCTCTGTAAAGCGTGTGTTCTTATCCAACTGGCAGCTTTTCATAACAAAATTGCTTTTATATTAGTAGCAGATCTAACGTTTTGTGATCAACCCATAACCTTATATATTCATTTATCTTTTTCCTTTGTAGATCCTTTTTAAATTGCTGTCTGTGTTTTGAGCAGCCCTACATTTTTAGGTTCTCGTCGCTGAATGTTTTACATGTGACTACCTGAAGCTAAAAAGAAATTTTTCCATTCTGTTTTCTTTTCTTAAAAAAATAAGGTCTCCTTTTTATTACTTGTGAGATTCGTCCAACACCCAAAGGAATAGGACATGATTTCTCTAGTTATATACCTCATGCTACAGGGTGAGGAGATGGTGCTATAGTAATTATTTCATTCTTTATCAGTTTCTTTTCCTTCTACCTGCTGGTAAGATGCACAGACTGCGAGATCCCTGTCTAATTCACACACCAAGTTAGGGGGAAGGATGCCAAGTAAAGGCTTTCCTCGGAAGATACTGGTGGAAATGCCAAGCTGCTACACCAAGACAGGAAGCTAGGACCAGGTTGTGAATGCCTAGAGAGCTTCTGGGAGAGGACATGGGACATCTCCAATCTTTTACTCTGTGGGCTTGGCTCCACCAGTAGTTTCTAAATTTTTTTTTTAAGAATTTGATCTTACAGCTTTAATGTAGTAAATTATTTTATCACCTAGTGATAAAACAGAAATCATAAATATTCAAAATAATATGTAGCAGAAATAGAAATAATGTGTATTGGTACATATTTGAATATGAAACTACCATGGAGTTGTCCTTCATGCATTTATAGCAAAAAAGCATGAATAAAGAACCAGACTGATTTTAGATCTTAAATCTGTCTCTGTGCTTATTTGAATTTGGGAAAAGAACTAATTTAATTCTGCTCTGGCTTTTATAAAGAAGTTCACATAGCCAGAGTCTTGAGTCCAGTCCCAACTTCTTTATTATACTCTAATCCATGCATGCGTGTACAGAGTTTACTTATTTTATATGATTATGGCTGCCCATTTCACAGTGGTGACTCTGGGTGGTATACAAAGATTAAAAGAGCATACAACCTCTGGCACCCAAAGATAAAACAACTCCATTGATAAAAAACCACATCAACAGCAGCAGAGCTCACCTAACCTCCTGATCCAAATGCCTGGGGAAACAGACAGGACTTCAACAACTTGCAAAAGGCTGACTGGGTCAGGGCCATTCAGATCTTCAGGGAGATGCTGTTTCATAAGGCAGGTGCTGCCATTGACAAGGCACAACTCTGGGGTCCAACAAGGTGAGCGTTTGATAGTAGGAATTTAGAGCGTGCCCTCTCTGCTAAATCTGGTGGGGCAAGAGAGACAGTGGGAGAAAGGTAGTCCTGCAGATAGCCTTATGCCACCTGGGGATTTATAGGTGATAACCAGCACCTGAATTTTCTTACTGAAAGCCAGTGCAACTCATGGAGCAGCAGTGTCACATGGGTATAATGAAAAAAAATAAAAAATTGTGCTGTTGCATTCTGTACCAGCTGCAGCTTCCAAGAATACTTTAAAGGCATCTCCACAGCAGCACATTGCAGTAATGCAAACAGGAGGTGACTAAGGCATGAACACCATGAGCAAGGCCTCCCAGTCCAGGAATGGGCACAATTGTTACAAAAGATGAACCTGTGCAAAGCACCCCATGGCCATGACTTCCACCTGCTATTTGAGTCCAGAAGGACCCCCAAATTGTGCATATGTATGTAAAGTGTACACAGTGCATTATATATTCAGTGTTAGAACTTCTGTATGTTCCTTGTTGTTTTCTAGTCATAAGTATCAGCCCTTTGGATTTATCATGAGACTTGCAAAGCAAAAGTGAGTAGCAATATATCACCCTTTTTATCAGCTATAGATTTGTTTTTTAATAAAAAATACAGACTGAAAAGTGTGTGTGTGTGTGTGTGTCTGTGTGAGAAAGCACACATGAGAAACTTCTAGAGAATGAAAATTAGAGCATGCCTAATTTTCAGCCAGTTATGCTGAAGGGACAATGCTATTTTTGATTTGATTGGTGGTTTAAATGGTCATTAGCAGGCTCATTTTATCTGTGGATTTCCCAGTATTATTGCTGATACTCTTATTATCTATATTATATGAAACCATTGAAAGAAATTATCTGGAACTTTACAATGTATTTACTTATTTGATTTATACTCCACCTTTTTGTCCAAACAAACACTCATTGTAAATTGGGTGTTGCCATATACTGAGCACACTTGATTATATTCCTTTTATTAATCATTTGGGAACATTTGTCTTGGACTTGAATGAGTGTCTGGAGGCTTTGTGCAACTGACTGAGGCTACATAAATTGAATTTAAATCTAAATGAGGTGTTGCTGATCTGCAGTCCTCAAGCTCTAAAAGCTAAATGCATAAGTAGATCTTCCAGAACTTTGAGGAGACCAAATGAGTCTGAATAAAATAATACAGGACTGGGTCAAAGGTAGTTCAGAATGTATTGATAAATTACTGAATTTGCAGTAAATTAAGAAGTTTCTGAATCAAAATTGTCTCAGAATAACAACAGTTAAAGGATTGTCTTTACCCATATCACAGTGCAGCATTTGGAAATCAATATTGTGGGATGGCCATTGTAGGAGGAATGATGGAGAGACAAACTTCATTCTGGAGATTGAGTTTGAGGAAGCTGGCTGAGTTGTTAGGCATACCAACCTGGTTACTCAGATATACAAGCAGGGAAAGCATGTTTTAACAGCTCTCAAACAATCAATTCAGTTACCTAATAGAAATTTAGGTTTATTTGATGATTTCAGACTTTCTACTTCAAATTTTTCTTGTTAATCTGCACAAGTACTTTCTGTATGCTACTTTACTAATGCTGTACTATTAATAATTTTGTAGGTAGATTTTATATATGACATAAAATCAACCATACCCATGTGACATTTCAAACATTTCATATGAACAACAATATTCTTGTTATAGCATAAAATTCTGGTATTATAAAAATGAGATAGGAAGAGCAATTCATTATACAGCCTGTTACATCTGTAATGGTCCCACAGTCCTTCAGTGGTAATAGAGCTTATAAATAATATCACGTGACACTCATGAATTGCTTTCTGTAACTTTCTACCATACCCAGACAAAAGTTGCTTTGTTAAGATAAAGTTGCAAGTTTTAAGCAATTGAAGTACAATGGCTTTATAAAAATGCTAAGTTAATCTTCATAGAGATACCAGAAAATTAAAGGGCAACATTTCTGTATATCGTCATTTTGCCCAATGGCGTAAACTTTGCATCTGGATAAAAATTCTTTTAATGGAACACATTAATGTAAACATAGTGTTTGTTTTAAAACTGCTAGACAACATGTTTTTTAATAGTTCTTTCCATAATCTGTTTCAAGTAAAGTACAGGTATTCCTCACTTAATGATGATAATTAGGACTGGAATTTCTGTTGCTAAGCAATGTGTTTGTAAAGCATAACATCACATGATGACACCTCTTCATGATGGCAGTTCCGGCCACCCCCAGTTACCATTGTTAAGTAAAAACTGCACAGGCCATTAAGCAAGGACCTCCTGTGATCATGACTTCTGGCTTCCCCATTGACTTTGCTTGTGGGAAGCTGGCAGGGAAGGTCGCAATTCATGATCACGTGACTACAGGACTCTGACGCCAGAAATCCTGGCCAGTTGCTATGCACCTGAATCGTGGTTGCGGAGGCACTGTGATGGCCAGAACTTTGAGAACCCATCATAACTATCACTTGCTCAGCGCCATCGCAAGTTTGAATGGTTGCTGAGCAAGTGGTTGTTAAACAAGGACCACCTGTAGAGGGTTTATGAGAGCTGGTTTGGTGCAGTGATTAAAGGCACCAGGCTAGAACCCAGGAGACTATGAGTTCTAGTCCTGCCTTAGACACAAGCCCACCTTGGGCCAATCCCTCTCTCTCAGCCCTAAGAAGAAGGCAATGACAAACCACTTCTGAAATCTTACCAAGCAAAATGCAGGGACTTGTCCAGGCAGTCACCAGGGATCAAAAGTGACTTGATTGTACACATAAAAAAGGAATTACAAATGGTACAAAAGCTTTAAGGGAGGTGTTACTCATGAAGAGTCTGGAGTGGAAGAACTAGAAATACATCAGGTGTATTTATGTGAATGTTATTCATTTTGATTTGTCACTTGATTCACAACAGATTATGTAGGTTAGAAAATAGTATCCTGGGGTCCTTGAGATATTTTGGGCTCATTACTATTAGTCTAGCCAGCATGATAGCAGTTAGTGGTATTTGGATTTTCCAATAGTTAAGGTAATATTTAGAGCAGGGAACCACAATTTTATGAACTTGTAAGCACATTTGAAATGCTTACAGATACTCATAAAATGGCTGTATAATGGATATTGAGAAACTTATTTCCATGAAGCAAATAAGTGAGACTGAATGAAAACTATTTTGCTCAAGAACAATTTAAAAGGCAGAAATGAGTCTGATTTTCAAAATACAAAACCATTGTTTTTGAGCTCAGGTTTCTGTACCATACCTGATAGGATCAAGAAAAAAGAGTAAAGAAATGGGCCTTGAAGATGGGCTTGATTTCCCAAATGATAAATTTGTTCCAATTAAAGAACATAAAATTTCAAAAAGGGACACTGAGAGAAACATGCATGAACAGTAACAAACCAGGACAAATACCTCTTTCCTGTACCCACACAAGGCAAAATACTATCACCCATGTGCCAGATCTCCAGGAAACTTAAAACCATCAACGTTGTTTATTGTTTTAATTTTTTGGTAATATCATGAGGCCTAAAGTGAAACTCTGAAATAAAACGCTATTGGAGACTGGCATGAATAAAGATAATCAGAAGCTTGGCCAGCACCAAATAAAACGTCCACGGACACAGAGTGCAGATCTCACATTTAGAGGAAACCACATGGTGAATAAAACTTTACACTATCTGAAGGCATGTCTTTATCCATGAAGTAGCCCTACCCTCTCACAGGAGATACTCTGCAGTAATCTTAAGATTTTCTTCAGGCTAAGCAAACATTGTTTGGAAGGCAAGAAATAAAATAGAGCTGGAAGGAGGCAGTATTAATCTTGGGGAATCAATACCTTGTGAAATCAAATGGTTGGACTCTAACCATACACAAAACGCTTTTTATAGCCATCATTAGTAGCTGTTGAACTTTAGTAAAGGATGGCTAAAAGTCAAAGGGAAAATATTCTTAGAGATCATAAAGGTAGAATGTTAAAATGCTAATATTCTACCTTTATGATGTAGGATGAGTAAGAATGTTTAGGAGGATAATATTCCTCACAGGGCTTTTGAACAGTAATGCTGATTACTAGTTTGTATATTGGGAGTACTTCAGTACAGCTTGTAAACAATGCAGTAGATTGCAATTAATGTCATGGCACATTCAGATTCAAAGACCGAGACAACTTTGGAAGCCTGGTTTGAAAAACTTTTCTTGTTTCGAAACTTATATATGGAGACATATTTAATATTTGTTTTTAAAAATAAGTAGTTAGGGTGTGACTATGAATATATGCTATCTTTACTGTACTGTATATTGATGAAGTGCCATCAAGTCAGTGTTGACTCTCAGCAACTGCGTATATGTATGTGTGTTTATGTCTATGTGTAGGTGTATGTACCCAAAGTCAGGCCCTATAGACAATTTGTTATAGAAATTACATTAAATGTTTGAATTGGTTGTCATTTTCTTCTAAACACTTCCTCACTTGTTTGATGCATGACTTTTGAACATTCCTAAGTACAATAACATTTTCTCTGGGGAAAAAAATTAATAAAACATATTGTGATTGGCCTATGGGGCCTGACCTTTGGTACACCTGGTATGTACTACTACTACTACTACTACTTTCTTTCTCTCTTTCTCTCTCTCTATATATATATATTATATGAATATAGAATGTTGAATTACAGTAATACTTTTATCTTGAAATGTATACAGTCATGTGAAAAAGAAAGTACACCCTCTTTGAGTTCTATGGTTTTATGTATCAGGATATAATAAAAATCATCTGGTCCTTAGCAGTTCTCAAAAGTAGGTAAATAAACTTCAGATGAACAACATGACATATTATACCATGTCATTTATTTTACAAAAAGAAAGCCAAAATGGA